ATAGGAGAAGAGGGGGGAGAAAAACGAAACAGAAGGAAAAGGAAAAGATGCCCAGCAGAATTGGAGAGGACGGCAGCAGGAGCACAAGGCTAGAAAAGGACAGAGGACTGTCCCAAGGAGCATCACACTCTGGCAGCCGCCCACTAAGCCCCCACACGGCGACAACGAGCTGAGCGGGGAGGGGGCTCACTGCTGAAGAGGATCCCGGATTTGGATCGAAATATACAGCCTACGTATCCGTGTGTTAACGTAATACCGGGTTATTATTTCCACTGAAGTGCATTATTGCACTTCACTTCAGCCACGATAGGAGAAAAACCTACCAACCCGGAACTGAATTCACTTGGAGATTTTGGAGGCCCGAACTGGTGCCCAACCAGGATTTTACGATAGGTCCACTTACACTCTGGCCTGCGGGTATTGTTCACACACACTAGTGTATATATGTAAATAATAGACCTTGTTCTTTATCTTTTAATGATAAACTTGAGGTGTATTGTTGGCGTGAAGTATGAGGCCTGAGTGGAGGAGATGTTTGAACAGTGGGTGAAGGGTGCTGGAGGAACCATCGCCCCAGTTATTGTTTTCCCGCCAATGCATAAGAAGTCTGAATCAGGCCGTCGGTGGAGAGGCTGGAGGGAGGGAGGAGGGAAAGATGGAAGAATGGTAGAAATTAAGTTACGAAAGAATTGAGAGAAAGAAGAAAGGAAATAAGGAAAAAGAGGTGAAATGAATGAAGGCAAAAAGAAAGGAATGAGAGAAGGGGAGAAGGAAGGATGGAAGAATGGTTAAAAGTTAGAAAGAAAGGACAGGAAAAAGGCAAGAATGGATTAAGGAATCAAGGCACAATGGAAGGAAGGAAGGAAGGAAGGAAGGAAGGAGAGAAGGAATGGAAAAGAGAATGAGTAAAGGAGGTGAGTAAGGAGGGAAGGAAACATAAATATAATACTCACTTCCAGGTAACAGACAACAAGAATAAGCCAACTGAAGAAACTCTGAGAAATTCAGACAAACTGGGTCAAGCCTCCCGAGTGTAAGACAGGCGATGGTACCCTTTCTTAATCCTTCCTTACCTACCATCTTCTCTTCCTTGTGCACTCCCTCCTCTTGCAGGCGATAGTCCCACAATAACGTGGCTGAAGTATGTTGACCAGACCACACACTAGACGGTGAAGGGACGACGACGTTTCCGTCCGTCCTGGACCAGTCACAATCGACTTGAGAATGGTCCAGGACGGACCGAAACGTCGTCGTCCCTTCACCTTCTACTGTGTGATCTGGTCAACTCCCTCCTCTTCTCCATCTTATACACCTTGTCCTTACGCTTTATTCCTGTTCCTTCTATTTACCTGCTTTAGGTCCTCTTCCTTTCCTCTGGAAAGGGAAGTATTGAGTTAACCATCTTCAGTAATTTCGTAGGATTTCCAGGAGGCAGACTTCGTCGATATATTATTGTGTCGGCTGTACTAAAGCGCGGGCTGATTATTTTATGGTTACCTTACTTACCTTGCGATGATTTCGGGGCTCAACGTTCCCGCGGTCCGGTCCTCGATCAGGCCTCCTAGGGTGAATTTGTCGTAGTTTGCAGAAAAGCTTGTGCATGCATCTGGGCGTCATTGATGTCAACTCTCGCTCTCCTGGTCATGTCAGCTTTGATAACACCTGAATTGTTCGAACGATTATCTAGTTTAACATCAATTCTCCTATTTACCTATTCTATATGCTGTCAAAATGTCCCGGCATTTCCTGAAGTCTGGATACGAACACGGTGATGTTTGTACAGTTTTCCCCATTAACTTCCTGAAGGACTGCATCCGTAGACACCATTACTGAGCCTCGTAATTTTTGGCGATCATACTCAGCTTGGGATTTAGTTTGATGGTTATGGGGGAGTTAAATTGTTTTTTTGATATTTGCGACACTTCTTGTTGTTTGTTGTTAGCTTCGTTGGACTTCAGTAAATATGACATATGTATGACATGAGGAGGAGACCAGCAGCCAGGGAGGCGTACACTTAAGACCAGTAACCTATGTTGACAACAAGAACAGCAACTACCACACCATAAGAAAACAACAACAGTACCAGCAGTAGAAACAAGAGCATCCCCCATGAACAACAACAAACAACAAACGAAACAAACACAGGAAAACAAAGACAGGAATACTTCCCACAGCTGCTGACTTTCGTCGTCTTGAGTACAGAGGTCAAACTCAATAAGAAAGTTAAGGAGAAACTCAGGAGAGGAACAAGGTCAAACTCACGTAGACAGACTCCAGGTCAACTTCTCAGATAAACTCAATGATTACGGGTAGATTCTTAGGAAAAAGTGAAGGACAAACTCGAGGACAAGCGCAAGGTTAAACTCAAGGACAAGCCCAAGAAGTAACTTGAGGACAATCGCGCTATTTATAGAGACGTTCCCAGCTCCAGTGGGATTCTGGAGTGTTTAAACAGACCGAAGAAAGGAACTCTTAAGTGCGTCGACCACGTAAGTAACTTTGGTGAGAGAGAGAGAGAGAGAGAGAGAGAGAGAGAGAGAGAGAGAGAGAGAGAGAGAGAGAGAGAGAGAGAGAGAGAGAGGAGAGAGAGAGAGAGAGAGAGTGAGAGTGAGAGTGAGAGAGTGTTGAGTATGCCTCATCACAACCCCACTACTTCATCAACAATAACAGGTGCCCTAGCTCACTCTTCAACACTAACAAACAACACACACACTACTCCACATTATAAACAATCTACTTCCTCTCTCTCTCTCTCTCTCTCTCTCTCTCTCTCTCTCTCTCTCTCTCTCTCTCTCTCTCTCTCTCTCTCTCTCTCTCTCTCTCTCTCTCTCTCTGTGTCTCTCTTACTCACACCTCACGCGTGTGAGGTGTGTGTTTGAACCTAAACCTCACGTCGCTGGAAGACGAGAGGTTCAAGTTCACGAGTTAGGGAAGACATGATCACCACATACAAGATTCTCGGAGGAATTGATAGGGTAGATACAGACAACTTATTTAACACAGGGGACACACGCACAAGGGGACACAGGTGGAAACTGAGAACCCAGATGAACAACAGAGACATTATACAAAACATTTTCAGTGTCAGAGTAGTTAACAAATGGAATGCATTAGGCAGTAATGTGGTGGAGGCTGACTCCATACACAGCTTCAAATGTTGATATGATAGAACTTAATAGATTCAGGAACCTGTACATTTGTTGACAGTTGAGAGGCGGGACCAAAGACCCGAAGCTCAACCCCCGCAAGCACAAGTAGGTAAACACATCGTAGGTCATACAGAGACCGAGAGATAGTGCGAGACAAAGAGCGAGAGCGAGAGAGAGAGAGAGAGAGAGAGAGAGAGAGAGAGAGAGAGAGAGAGAGAGAGAGAGAGAGAGAGAGAGAGAGAGAGAGAGAGAGGAGGGAGGGTGAGAGGGAAGTACTATCCAAGGCTCCATCCAGTCTATTATCATTTATATGAGGAGCTTGATATTGGTGACGTCAGAGTAAGCAAACACGGAGGCCGGATGACGTCACTGTAAACAAACATGGAGACTTCATAGTGTCGAACCAAGAGACATGGAGGTCACATATTGCCAAATAAACAAGGGCTGATAACGTGACCTTAAGCATAGACGGAAACTGGATGTAACCTGATAGAACATAACTGATGTGATCTCACTAAACCTTACTAGACATGACCTTACTTAACTTTACCAGACATGACTTTACGTAACCTGGCCCCGACAAACACTGACCTTGCCCGAACCTAAATCTCACGAACCTCATTATTACTAACAAATATAAATAAACTTTCCATATAATTTGAAGACGACGTGATTTCTAACAAAATATTAAAAAGATGTTATGCAGAGTGGCCGCAACGCGTGCCAAGATGTAGGAAAGATGGAAGAGGAGTAGGAGAGAGAGAGAGAAAGAGAGAGAAGGGATTAATATGTCACTTAATACTTTGCCTGTGTATAAGTGTAAACACATTCATTGAGCTGTTTGTGTAACACCCTTACCTGGGACCTTATAATGTATACTATGGGAGAGGTGTGGATATTGCCACGTGGGAATTATCAAAATGAAGATCTATGGGGGAATGTGCACATATGAGAGGTAGTTAGGTACATGTGGGAGGTTGTAGGAATGTATATGGGGGGGGATTGTGGGTTTGGGCATGTGGGGATTACATGTATGGTGATGGAGAGATTATTAGTATGAACAAGTGCGGGAATATGGGTACTGGCAGTTTGTATTAGCATGTGGGCATGGGGCATTTGGGGAATGTGGATATAGGCATGAGGGGATTTTCGGTATGGAGGGATGTAGGTATATATGAGTATAGACATGGGGTGGGGTGGGGATATAGACACATTATATATGTTTGTATAATCGTATAGCGGCAGTGGAGGTGGATTTTGCTACGAAATCAGTTGATTCCACAACGTCCTACTTATGTATTTGAGCCACATGTGCTCCCTCTTACCCACATTACATATGTATCATGTTGCCTAAGATGGCTTAAAGATCGTTTACATACGACGCTCGTGGTTGGGTTGTTTGGGCAGGACAGATGGGCAAAGTGGAGGCTAACCACTTTGACACTAGTGGTTAGAGAACCACTTTGACACTAGTGGTTAGAGAACCACTCTAACCACTTTCGGCTTCCACTTACTGGAAGTTTAGGTAGACTTTTCCTCCCAACTTGGCCAAAAACTGGCAATTCTTTCTCAGAAGTCAACTTACAACAACCTGATTCTCAGGTACTTATTTACTACTTGGTGGAAAAGAGGTACTGTTCCAAGATGTTTCACCCCCACTCGGGGAGTCGAACCCTGGCTCAATTGGTTGTGGGTTACTTAAGTAATAATCGATCGGCATTTATTGGATCAGGGGTAGTAAAGTTCATTTGTTATGGCGAGCCTTGACCAGGTAGACCTTCCTCAAGGGTCATGGGTCACGCACAGGTACTAGGGGAAATAATTTTACCCATAATAAGGATAATTATTTACCTTATTGTCTAGGCTCTCCAGACACTTGGCATCTTGAGGCGTGGCGCACCACATCAAAGTGTCGAGCAAGTGGCTAAGCTGCAGTAACCTTGAGTTCTTGAATTCAGGAGAGCGTCAGTAGGTTGAGAGCCAAGCAGAGATTTGTTAATGTTCGCTAGGGGGAAAAAAAGAGCTGTCTGCACACACACACTCTGGTGGGAAGATTATCCAAAAGTCGATGCTCGATCCTGCAAGCACAAATAGATGAGTACACACACACACACACACACACACACACACACACACACACACACACACACACACACACACACACACACACACACACACACACACATACACACACACATACACACATACACACACACACACACACACACACACACACACACACACACACACACACACACACACACACACACACACACACACACACAGCGGGAGGCGGGACCAAAGAGCCAGAGCTCAACCCCCGCAAACACAACTAGGTGAGTACACACACATACACACATACACACACACACACCAAAGGCCTTAGGAAACAAAGGTGCCCCAAAAAATATTAGAAAGTTTACTCTTGCAAACAGAGTGGTAGACGGAACAAGCTAACTAAGAAAGTGGTGGAGGCCAAAACCGTCAAAATCGCCCGAAATCATCACCTGTTGCTGTTTCTCTTTTTGTTGCTGTCAATACCACAAACTTTTCTATGAGCTTCGTGCTGTCGACTTGAGAATGGTCCAGGACGGACCGAAACGTCGTCGTCCCTTCACCTTCTAGTGTGTGGTCTGGTCAACACACTTCAGCCACGTTAGTGTGACTCATCGCCTGCATTTCGTACTATCATGAACATCACGTGTTCGAATTGCAAGTTGTGTTGTATCAACTGCACCTTTGCTTTCATCACTTGCAGTAGAAAATGCAAAAAATATCTTTAACTTTTCTTGACTGTTAAAATACGTCCTATGGTCTACTTAAAAGATAACTAATATCTATCGAACCAACAGGCACTTCTATTTTAGTGAACACAATAGACAAGAGCAGTAATGTGGTATATATATATATATATATATATATATATATATATATATATATATATATATATATATATATATATATATATATATATATACGCAATAATTTTACTGTGCTAATTGTGATCACGGTGCTGTTGAAGGACCGAGTGGACCGCGGGTGGTATAAGTGGACCGCGGGCGGTATAAGTGGACCGCGGGCGGCATAAGTGGACCGCGGGCGGCATAAGTGGACCGCGGGTGGTATAAGTGGACCGCGGGTGGTATAAGTGGACCGCGGGCGGTATAAGTGGACCGCGGGCGGCATAAGTGGACCGCGGGTGGTATAAGTGGACCGCGGGTGGTATAAGTGGACCGCGGGCAGTATAAGTGGACCGCGGGCGGTATAAGTGGACCGCGGGCGGTATAAGTGGACAGCGGGTGGTATAAGTGGACCGCGGGGGTATAAGTGGACCGCGGGTGGTATAAGTGGACCGCGGGTGGTATAAGTGGACCGCGGGTGATATAAGTGGACCGCGGGTGGTATAAGTGGACCGCGGGTGGTATAAGTGGACCGCGGGTGGTATAAGTGGACCGCGGGCGGTATAAGTGGACCGCGGGCGGTATAAGTGGACCGCGGGTGGTATAAGTGGACCGCGGGTGGTATAAGTGGACCGCGGGCAGTATAAGTGGACCGCGGGCAGTATAAGTGGACCGCGGGCGGCATAAGTGGATCGCGGGCGGCATAAGTGGACCGCGGGCGGCATAAGTGGATCGCGGGCGGCATAAGTGGACCGCGGGCGGCATAAGTGGACCGCGGGCGGTATAAGTGGACCGCGGGCGGCATAAGTGGACCGCGGGCGGCATAAGTGGACCGCGGGGGGTATAAGTGGACCGCGGGCGGTATAAGTGGACCGCGGGCGGCATAAGTGGACCGCGGGCGGCATAAGTGGACCGCGGGCGGCATAAGTGGACCGCGGGCGGCATAAGTGGACCGCGGGCGGGATAAGTGGACCGCGGGCGGCATAAGTGGCCCGCGGGCGGCATAAGTGGACCGCGGGCGGTATAAGTGGACCGCGGGCGGCATAAGTGGACCGCGGGCGGCATAAGTGGACCGCGGGCGGTATAAGTGGACCGCGGGCGGTATAAGTGGACCGCGGGCGGTATAAGTGGACCGCGGGCGGCATAAGTGGCCCGCGGGCGGTATAAGTGGACCCCGGGCGGTATAAGTGGACCGCGGGCGGCATAAGTGGACCGCGGGCGGTATAAGTGGACCGCGGGCGGTATAAGTGGACCGCGGGCGGTATAAGTGGACCGCGGGCGCCATATAGAAGGCTAACGGGACCTCAGGACCCCCGCATGCCCGACACTCCTAAACGAGACGAAGTTGAATTTCAAGCACAACCAATCAAAGCCAACATAACTCCAATCAACCAATCAGAGCCAACATAACTCCAATCAACCAATCAGAGCCAACATAACTCCAATCAACCAATCAGAGCCAACATAACTCCAATCAACCAATCAGAGCCAACATAACTCCAATCAACCAATCAGAGCCAACATAACTCCAATCAACCAATCAGAGCCAACATAACTCCAATCAACCAATCAGAGCCAACATAACTCCAATCAACCAATCAGAGCCAACATAACTCCAATCAACCAATCAGAGCCAGACATCACGTATGCCGCAATTACCAGAAAACAGGGACATGTTAACACGGGTGGCGGTACGGGTGTGACATCAACAAGTTCCTGATCAAGGGAGTATTTCTACCAGCAAAATAATGCCTGTTGCATCTGCAGCATGCAAGGTGCAACTAGAGTGGACGTTCCAGCACTACGAAACCACTCCATCCTCACGATGGAGAAGAGTAGCGACGTTATTATCGAGGTCTTGTTTGCAATATCACTTGTGACACAAAAGATTATTGATGTGTGTATTTGTGTGGGTGATTAAATATGTATATGTATATACGTATACGTATATATATATGTACATGTATGTATATGTGTACATGTATATATAACATTAATAATTGTTTAACTAGCGTCAAAAGATTGATATTAAACGAACTAGAGGGTTCAGTTCCTGAACCGATTATGTGCCTCTGTAATCCTTTACACTACCGCCCACGGGATGGGTATGGGGTGCATAATAAAGAACTAGTAACTGGTTTGCAATATATGATGTCAAAGATGTCAGAGTGGGACACATCAAGTGGTCAGCAAGGCTGACGACAAGGGATATGACCCGTAAGTTGTGTGTGTGTGTGTGTGTGTGTGTGTGTGTGTGTGTGTGTGTGTGTGTGTGTGTGTGTGTGTGTGTGTGTGTGTGTGTGTGTGTGTGTGTGTGTGTAAGTGTCGTCTGGTGGACTCGATATCGTTTATTTTGAAGGAAGAGGAATCACATGAAGCAATTCACTCGTGGAGAGTGAATGTACCATGAGTGGTAGTTACTCAAGGTCGATCGAGTGCAGGTGTGATTGCCAATGCACGATGCGGGATGATTGTTTACGACAAAGTTGACTCGTTATTTAAATTATCGTTGCTCAAGTTTGGCAACGACAACTGCCTCGTTGGCTTGTTCGAAGTAACGCGGAAATCACCTGTGGATTCTAAGTTTATTTTTTGCTACTATAAATTTGTAGCAAAGTATTTGTATCGAAAAGAAATGTAGTGAGAGAGAAAATTGTTTGACACAGTTGGTATTCCAGTACATTGTGTCCTGATTACCAGAGGTAAAGTACATTTTGGATGTTGACCAGACCACACACTAGAAGGTGACGGGACGACGATGTTTCGGTCCGTCCTGGACTGAAACTGGTCCAGGACGGACCGAAACGTCGTCGTCCCTTCACCTTCTAGTGTGTGGTCTGGTCAACGCCTTAGATTGATAAAGATTAAGCCACTCAAGATTGTTGTTGTTTAAGATTCAGCTACTGGGAACAAAACGTTCCAAGTAGCACGGGCTATGGGGAGCCCGTAGTGGACTTACCTGGCACAGGAGCGGGTCTGTAACGCCACCCAAGAGGTGGTACGGGCACGAATAGCCCGTAATCGCCTCAGTACGCATTCCGCATATCCATGCTAATAAATCCTCACTTCCCAGTCTACGACTACTGCTCTTACGTATAAATGTTCACAATTATTGCAACATATTGAGTCCACATCTGCCGTGGTGACCTTCATGTGCTCCTGACAACGGCTCTTGCTTGTAATGACTGCTGGCAAATGGTTATACTTACGTTATAGCAAGAGTTAGCTGTGTCTGATTCGTTGTGTCTGGAGTATGACTGTGGTGTGTGGTCGGGTGCAGTCTTGCTGGGAACACGGCTCTCGAACGACCTTCCTGCATGTTTTCCGTACTCCCAGATGAAGGATATTGGCCCCTCAAGGCTTAGGAAGGACACGAGTGATACTCGTCTTGAAGGAACTGCTTGATGTGTTCTGAAAGAACAGATAAGGAATTACTACGTTCCTTTTCGGCCTGTAATTTTAGCGAGAGTAAACTTGAGTGTTGACCAAACCACACACACTAGAAAGTAAAGGGACGACGACGTTTCGGTCCGTCCTGGACCATTCTCAAGTCGACTTGAGAATGGTCCAGGAAGGACCGAAACGTCGTCGTCCTTACACCTTCTAGTGTGTGGTCTGGTCAATATTTTTCAGCCACGTTATTGTGACTCCTCGCCTGCGTAAACTTGAGTGAGGTTGTAGAGAAATGCAGAAGATCACCCAAGACTCAACTACAAATTAGAGGTATTATCAGGCAACATCACCGTGACAAGGTAACTGAGGAAAGGAGGATAGAAGCACAAACCAGTGAATCTGTACGATGGTACAACATGGTTGCAGCTGGCAATCCCAGTCTTTATGGACGAAGAGGAGGAGGACGAGGGAGAGAATCAGTAATAGCGAGAATCCGTCCTGGATACAAATATCCATAGAGATTTGGAATGGAAACAACAGTTGATCAGCGAAGTTGCAGAATCTGTGGTGAGAGTGATGGACACCGCCTTGACCACTATCTACGTGAATGTGAACACCTGAGAGACATTAGGAATATGTGTAGAATAATAAACCCAAATTGTTTGAGTTAGGAAAACACTATTTGTCAAATATTGATACTGTTCTTAAAAGATTTCCCCATTTTGCACCCGCAAGATAACGTAAGCTTTTAAGGGTTGATAGATGTTAATCTTCTTGTTTGAGGAGCTGTTCACTTGAGACAGTTAAGCAAGTCCCAGCTGTGTCTGGGTACAAGTGACAGGATGAACAACCCAGCGGGTTTTCTTCCAATTGGGGAGTGTTGTACATTCTGCTATGGCGGTATGTTCACTCACAAGATGAGTGACGCTGCCCAATAAACTCGCCCCTCGGGGCAAAATTAAAAAAAAAAATTCAGTTACTATATGATGGCAAAGATGAGCTTTTAAAATTGATTAAAGATTGCCAAATGTAGTTTAATATTAATGATCGGGGGACAGGCAGTCAGGTTATATACAGCACATGTTAGGCCTATACCCAATAGGGTCAAATTACTGATCCTACGCAGGATGCAACCCACAACAAGCTGACTAACTTCTGGCTACCTATTTACTGCTAAGTGGACATGGGAATTACTTGATAGGAAACGCACCCAATCATTTTTGTTCCGTCCCGGGATTCGAACTCTGAATTCTCGATTGTCAAGATCGTCCCAAGGGACAAGTGGCCCCGTCCCAAGTGGCCCCCGTCCCAAGTGGCCCCGTCCCAAGCGGCCCCATCCCAAGGGGCAAGTGGCCCCGTCCCAAGCGGCCCCGTCCCAAGCGGCCCCCGTCCCAAGTGGCCCCGTCCCAAGCGGCCCCGTCCCAAGGGGCAAGTGGCCCCGTCCCCGTCCCAAGCGGCCCCCGTCCCAAGTGGCCCCGTCCCAAGCGGCCCCCGTCCCAGGCGGCCCCGTCCCAAGGGGCAAGTGGCCCCGTCCCAAGCGGCCCCGTCCCAAGGGGCAAGTGGCCCCGTCCCAAGCGGCCCCGTCCCAAGGGGCAAGTGGCCCTGCCCTACACACACCAGGCTGCCGAAGGAGGACCAATTATTGTGTATTCAATCGCCGGTCAGGTGGAGTCGTTGCCACACTGAAGCGTGATGTAATCTCTCCAGTGTTTTATCTCTTTGTACTTGCAGGATCGAGCTTTAGCTCTTGGCTCCTCACTTTTCCAACGGCGGTTAGCTAATGCAATGATTCACACCCTATTTTCTTATCATATCTATTTTTAAAAGTATCATCGGAGATCGCTTCTTAAGTCTCTCTCTCTCTCTCTTTCCTTTTTACTGGCTTCTTCACCATTTGTACGTACCCATCCTTTGCCATTCTGAGACGAACCTGTTACTTTTCCAGTTTCTTCACGTATGCAGTGTACAGTGATCTAAATGCCTTCTTATATAATCTCCTGACTGATATTCTGATTATTGCCGGAGTGGAGTGTGTGTATATATATATATATATATATATATATATATATATATATATATATATCCCATCGCTGTAAAAACTTCTCCCACGCACTTATAATACAAATAATCGCCAACAGAACCTAAACACCTGACCTAAGTACACATACCACTTTACTATATAATAATATTAATCTGTAATTGAGAACATTTAATACAGCGTATGTTAAAACTGATGAGTGCATCTTGGAGACGTCGGCCGCCGCTTTAACGAGCCTCTCCCGAGGACAGCTTTCTAAGGCCTTTGGCCGTGTACAGCAGATACAGATGTCAACAGAACACCTAACACGGCCTAACCTAACCATACATACAGTTTTAATATATAGTATTTATTTCCATGAGAAAATACCGATTTAAAATGCACAATATGTTTCAAAAATCCGTCTTTGGGGTCGGGGCGCTGCTTGAATGAGCCTAGCCTGAGGACAGGCTGTATTAAATAACCTGATAAACCAAGTAATAACTTTTGTGACGGGGCTTATACACAGAGAGGTGTAGCCAGCCTCTGGGTGTATATACATGGAGAGTTTACCTTAGACCTGGACGGTGTTCTGGACTAAAGTATACTTGCTGGTGGGTCAGTAAACAAGTGTCAGGGCCTTAATAGCCCTCCAGAGGTTGTTAAGACTTAAGGTAAACCCCGAACCTAACTCCCCCCCCCCCTAGAGCCACGAGGGTGAGAGAGAGAGAAAGAGAGAGAGTGAGAGAGAGAGAGAGAGAGAGAGAGAGAGAGAGAGAGAGAGAGAGAGAGAGAGAGAGAGAGAGAGAGAGAGAGAGAGAGAGAGAGAGAGAGAGAGAATACCCAGTGCCGTCCGGGGTCTCTTTCCTTCTCTTTTCCTACCCTTTCTCCTCTTCCCCACACCATCTCCCCCATCACCCCTCTCGTCCCCACCCCCTTGGTGTTCCCTGTGTGTCCCCTTCCCCCCCTTCCTCCTTACTGCCCCTTCTCTCAGAACATTTATTAAGAACTGGTAAAACAACTGTATGAGAAATGCCTCTTGGCATTTCTCATTGAAGTAAAAAAAAATCCTCTGGAGACATTGCAATTTTGACAGTTTCTAATTTGTTCCTACCTTCCCCTGTGGTATGCCAGCCTTTTACCTGCCGGCATTTTTCCTAACGAGTACATTCTCTACTTCCACAAGGTATTCAAATGTCATTACCCAGTGATCGCTTATTCTTAAAGGGAGATCGAAATTGACTTTCCTTATATCTGACTCAATTAGTCTGACTATCAGGTCAGGTTCAGTATCTCAATATCAGACTGAAACCTCAATATCATGTCAAGTCTGGTTGGTTCATCATTGTCCCTCATTCGTGTGGGTCCACTGACATGTTGGCGGAGGAAGTTTCTTGTTAGTTCTTGATGAATTTAGCTTTCCATATGCCGATATCGCCATGGTGTTCCCTATTTCCCCACTCTATTTTGCTGTGGTTGATGTCTCCAGTGGTTATGAGTCTACACCTATTCTTGTTTACACTGCGGCAGCTCTTTCCAGGGTAGTGATAACGGCTCTATTATTTTTGTCACACTTCTCTTTGGGTCTTCTGTCTTTTGTGAAGGATTGTACAGCACTGCTAATACTAGTTTAGGTCCTCTCATTATTATAATTCCTTTTATACAATCCCTAAGTTCATCATAACCTGGGATTGGCAGCTCTTAGGAAAGTCCAATCCTTACAAATCAATAGATCAATTCCTCCCTCTCATCTTCCTTCCCTTTACCTCCTCACAACGTAAAAGTCTTCGTTACACTGCATTAGTTACGACCTCTGATAGTTTTGTTTCTGTGAGCACAGTTACATCAGGGTTATCCTCGTTCTTCCATTCCTTGAGTTCATTCTTTTGTAATTTCATTGATATAGGTTTGCATTACTTCTTTTTTCTGCAATCTTACTTTCAATCTCTTTCATTATCTGTCCCCCTTGTATTGGATGACTTTTCAGTGTGTGTAGTATGTGGTGAGGGAGTTGCATGGGTGTTTAGAGAATATGGAAGAGGGAGGAGGCGTGATGTGCTTGATGATGATGACTGAGGAATTTAGGAGTGAAGGTGGTGGACAGGAAAAGGTTGTGGAAGGGTAATGGAAGGGTAGGAGAGTGGGGTGAGGATTGAATGCACGTAAATGGGGTAGCTGGGAGGGGGATGATGTGTGTGTTCTGACATAGTTGTGCTTGCGGGGGTTGAGCTTCGCAAGGACAACTAAGTGAGTATACACACACATACAAAAAGGGTGACAAACAAGAGGCACTGAACTACAGGCTGGTGCCCTTAACTCTGTGTGTGTGTGTGTGTGTGTGTGTGTGTGTGTGTGTGTGTGTGTGTGTGTGTGTGTGTGTGTGTGTGTGTGTGTGTGTGTGTGTGTAGTCTCCTCCTGTAGAATCATTGATGTTCTAATTCAATGCCTCTGTTCTCTCATTTCGATGACAGAGAAAATAATTATCTCATTTTACACTGAGATCTGTGGTGAAGTGTGTGTGTGTGTGGTGTATGTGTGTGTGTGTGTGGTGTGTTGTAGCAACTTGGGCCACTGAGTCAGCTGACACATTTCCACTTAATTACAACTTTTACAGTAAACTCCTCCCTGACATCTGTGACACATCTTCGTCACAAGTTGACATATACGTGCGTGGGTGTGAATGCATGTATTCACTTACGTATACAATCAGATATGTATTTTATACATTGATGCAGTGTAGCGTGGATGGGAAGGATTGAGAAGGGGGTATAGCTAGGGAGGTAGGAGGTGCAGGCGTGTCTTCACTCACGTCTCCAGCTGCTCCTGTGGTCATGTTCACACCGCCGACATAATCTTTATAACAACACGAAGATTTGCGACGCAAAAGCCTTTCCCCCACCGCTCATCCTCTGGAAGCCACTAGTTACCCCCTAACACCGTGAGAATAAGGACTCGTATCTGAGGCATGATTGTTGTCACACAGTGGGAGGCGACATGGAGTACATGTCAAAACATGCCCCAGTGCGCATTTAATCAACGCTAAATCAAGGTTTAATCAAAGGTTTTTGATTAACGTTCAGTCAGTACAGTATTGGAACAACTTTAATCAGCATTAGA